GAAAATGCAGGCTAATCATGATTTGGGTGTACTATTCCTTTAAGAGATATTTCAAAATTTGGCAACCTTTAATTTCTTATTTTGAATCCGAAGTTCCATCTGCTTCAGCATAATCAGCAGTTTTGTTTTTCTTAGTTTTTTTTCTCTCTGTTTGGCGGAATTATTATCATTATGATTGTTTTTCATACTTATGTTTTTGGTTTTCAACCCACGGATGTCTGGAACATGGGTTGTATGTGCGGGTACGGGTGTAGTAATTGTCTTGTTCATAGTCGGTTTATGGGTTTTTTTTGTTTGTTTTTTTGTGATGTCGGTGTGATGTAATCATGGAGTCTTTTTGTTTTGTTTTGTATGCCCTGGAATGGATGTCTGTCGGTTTAATATGAAAAACTAATAAAAGCAATTTAATTATTATTTGTTTTTGTTCCACTCTATAAAGCCTCGAACTCAACGCTAGTTCTGACATTATGAATTGAAAAAGTTTCCTGGATGGGAAGCGAAACATCTTCAAACTTGGAAACAAAATTCAGTGGATTGTTTTTTAACTTTGTCGGAATAATCTGTTAACCAAGCAATCAGGAAAGACTGTCTAATTTGTTCCACTACAGAGGAAGCCAACAAAAAACACAAGTTCATTTGACTCCAATTTATGATTTGTCTTTATTTTTTATTTTTTAATGGCACTAGTGACTCGTTTTTCTGACAGTAGGCTGACTATTTATTGTCAGATATATAAACAGACCCCTGATAATGCTGGAAGTGAGCTATAAAGCTTTAGAATCATCCACTAGTTTCATTTCTAAAGACTCAATCCTGCAGCTGAGCTGACTGAAATCATGTGGGTGTATTTTTTGTTGTTATTTTTTTCACAGCAGAAATCTCTACGCTGTGAAAGGAGACGAAACACAGAGCTGATAAACGTGTGAGCTGTGGTAACCAGCGACCTTCACTCTGTGTCTGTGTGAGCATCAATGATCGGGAGATCAGTATTTCAGTTCTGCTTGTTTTAGAAAACCACAACATTTGGTACTTTGCCGTGTTACTCAGCTGGCCTGTGATGAAGGAAGCAGCACTGATAGTTTTACTGAAGGTTGTTGGTCATGTTCTACAGCTTCGGTCCCTTTGTACACAACAGAAACATCCATCTGTCAGGAATCTTTTTACAGCAGCAGCCATTCAAAATGGCCCTTCCCAGTCAAAAGCCAGCCAAATGGCAGCAAAATCCCCTCCAACTTCCAGCCAAGGGCTAGCCAAGGGCATTGGAGAAATCTTGAATGTCTAATACTGTACCTTCCTTGTGAAACACACTTTTTAAAACCTATTTGCTTATATCCTCCCTTTCTACATAAAGAAAAAACGACCACATGTTTCCAGTATATCAGATCTACAAACAAGCCTAAATTATTACGATACAGCGAGAATTCAACTGCAGGATTATTGCAGAACTAACCTGACTCCGCCAGATGGATTTGCTCCACATATCCATCTGGAAACCTTCCGTTGAAGTAATT